ATTTCTGGAGAAAGGGTCAGGCCGTAGGATATAACCATTTCGCTAGCCATTAACTGGGATGGCTCTGGCTCCAGCAAGACGGTCACTGCACTTCAACGTGCCAATCAGCTGCGATGTGACCCAAAGCTGTTGCTGGAGAGCGGTCCAGATGGTGTGACATAGCCATTTCGCGGATAGTGCAGCGGGAAGTTTCTGAATGTAGCTTTTGGTCTGTGTAACTAAGCCTGCAGCTCCGCTGCGATCCAGAGTAAGAATTTTCATGGAGAACGGGTCAGATCGTTGGACATGGCCGTTTCGCGGATCGCTCAGTCAAGTGGTTCCAGACACAGCGTGCCAGTCAATGCAGCTCAATCTTCAGATCCGCTGCGATTCGAGCCAAACGTGTTGGTGGAGAGCATTCGAGATTTTGGGACATAGCTATTTCGCAGCTGATTCAGTAGGATGTTCTCCAGCAGAGATTGGTCATCGATGCAACTCAATCTGCAGATGTTTTGCGATCTGAGCCAAAAGTTTCCGTTGAGACACTGTTAGAAGACTTGAAGTAGCGGTTTTGTAGAGAGCGCAGTGCGATGACTCCAGCTATAGAGGGACGGGCAGCGCCATGCAATCTGCAGCTTCGAGGCGATCTGGACCAATAATCAACTTGAGAAACGGGTCAAATAGACGAATATGGCGATTTCGTGAACAGCACAGTACAGTGCCTCTAGCTTTAGCGGGACAGTCAACGCCATTGAGTCTGCAGCTCCGCTGCGATCTGAATTACCCATTTCCTGGGAGGAATAAGTCGTAGCAGAATTTGCAGCTATCCCTCAGTACAAAGCAGGCAGGTCAACGCTATTCAGTCTGCAGCTTCGCTGCAGTTCGACCCAAATACGTCCCTGGAGACACGTTCTGGATGATTTGACATGCCGATATTTTGGAATGTCTCTAGATTCAGCTATGCCATCAATGCCCCCTGATCTGCAGTCGCGCTTTGAGTCGGTTGTAGCATTTCCATGGAGAAAAAAACCAAACCACGATTTGGAGCTGCATCTCCGTGTAAAGTTGACAATGAACGCCATTGCAAACGCAGAAACGCTGGAAGTCGGACCAAAATTGCTCGTGGAGAAATATTTGAGATGTCAGAATGGACTTCGTCTGTAAGACACGTAAGTGGTCGAAGCCATTCCATCTGCAGATCTGGCGCGAAGCAGACTATATTTGCTCTTGAAGGAGCATATCGATTCGTTGTTGGAGCTGATTCTCCATACAACTTCGACAGTCGATGCCATTCCGTCCGCAGATCCGCCAGACTTGGAGCCAGATGTGTCCTCGAAGAATGGTTTCGGACTACGAGAAGGAGCCGTGTCTCTAGATTCAATCGGTGTTCAACGCAATTCATTCCGCAGATCCGTGACAAGGTGAGCTGAGTAGTTTGGTGGAGGGGTAATCCGAACCTTGTGACATAGCGATTTTGTTAGCTTGAATAGTTGAGTCTCTAGATCAGCTTGGTAGTCAATGCTGTTTCGTTTGCGTATCTCTTGCAAGCTGAAATGGAAGTATTCGTGAAGACGCGGGGCTGACATGTGTGACATAGCTATTCCGTGGCCTGAGTGGTCGCATCTCCGGCACAGCGAGTAAGCCAGTGCCCTCAATACTGCAAATCCGTAGCAGGGTGAGCGTGGGCGATTTTTGGAAAGGTCCTTCGGACCTCGTGCCATGGCAAATTTTGTAGATTCAGTAGTTGAGCTTCACGGGTGAACAAGAGATCAATGCCGTTCATGCTGCAGATTCTTCGCCAGCTGGACTGAACGCACTCATGGAGACATGGTTTCAAACCTGTGACATGGCCATTTCCGCGGCTTGCGTAGTCGCAACTCCAGTACAGCGAGAGGGTCAGTGCCATCGAATCTGCAGGCCCTTCGCAAGCTGAATTGGACGGATCCGTGGAGACATGATCGGGACTTTGTGACATAGCGAGTTTTGCAGTCTAGGACCTGGCTTCCAAAGACAGCTGGTAGCTCAATGCTGTCCTGTCTGCAAAGGATGCGTATGTTGAATAGAGGCGATTCCCGGAGATTCCATTCGGACTTCGTGAAATAGCGATTTTGGCAGTTTGCGAAGTCGAACCTCAAGAAGGATTCGAAAGTCAGTGCTACCCAATCTGCACGATTGCGACGCTAGATACGAGACAGATCCATAGAAACAGAAGCAAATCACGAAACGTATAGCCATGTCTCTGGAATGGTCAATAGGTCAATGCAATCAGATGCGCAGATCTAAAGCGAATGGCCCTGATCATGTTCGTGGAGACGTGTTCCCCATCTTCCGGACATAGTGGTTTCGCGCTGAGCTCGTTGTTTCTCTGAGTAATCGTGTGTTCAACGCCGCTCAATCTGCAGCTTGGCCGCATTCCGAAGAAAAGAGATTCTAGAGAACGTGACAGGACTGTGACACCCGAATTCGTAGCTCAAGAACGGTCTGGCATTCAGCGGTATTCAATGTACGAAATTGGAGCGATTCGACCCAAAAGTGTTCGTGGAGGAGCTCTTGAGTCTACCTGACATAGCGATTCTTGCGGCGAGTATAGTTCCAGGATAGCTCGGCGGTCAACGAAATCCAGTCCATAGACGGGTGACAGACCGAATCAGAGGTGTCCTCGGAGAGAAGCGAGAGATGAGACCAGAATGTGTTCCGCGAGAGACTGCAGGGATATTTCATACCATACGACATAGCGCTACTCGCTGTATATGTAAGGAAGTTCCTAGAAAAGCCGAAAGGTCAAGGCGAACTTGTTTCCAGATTGGTGAGACATATGGCCAGGATAGTCGTCAGAGAGAGGTCGTTAGCAGTAAAAACCGTGTCGATTCTCGCGGACAGTATAGGATGTTTCCTAGAATAGTTCGATAATCAAGGCCATCGACCTGACGAATTGATAAGATGTCTGGTGGATACTGAGATCAAAGAGACCGTCCGAGGAAAAGAACATACTGCTTTCTGAGGGAAGCGCGGATCCTCGTCTCGAATATTTTGGCGATCGCAGCCATCCATATTGCGGATTGGCGAGGACTCTGACCAATGCTTTATCAGAGAGAGGTCATTTGGAAAAAAAGACCTGTATCTTCTTATTTGTTGCGCAATGAAGGCTCTCACATTACTGAGTGGTCAATGCAATCCAGTTTCCAGAATGGGAGAAGATGGATTGACATATCTGGAGAGAGACTGTTCGGAAGTTGAGTGTCCCGAGGACAGCGACGCGCTCATAGCAATCGAAGCTCCAGATTGGCGACAGCTCTGATAGAGATACGCAGAGAGGGCCAGTGCGGTAGTCAGGTACCTCTAAGACGGCACAGCGGCCAATGCAAGCTGATTGCCAGATCGACGAGAAATCTGATTAGTGTTCTGAGAGAGGAGCTGTTCGAAAGCAAAAACATAACGGGTCTCGCGATGGCGTAGTCGAAAGATTCGAGAACAGTGGAGAGCTCAATGCGACTTGATCGCTTGATTGATGAGACAGATGATCAGTATTTCGTGAGAGACATTGGTAAGAGGAGGGGACGTAGTGAGTCTCGCGGTAGAGTAGCCGACCATCTCCGGAACGGCGAAGCGCTTCACGCAGTCTGATGTACACATTGGCGAGAAAATTTCGAAAGAGCTGCGAGAGAGACTGCGCAGAGGAAATAACCTCGAGCATTCGCGATCGCGTTGTCGAGTGTCTCCAGAACAGCGAAGCGGTTGACGCAGTCTCGTGTGCAGATGGACAGGAAACCTGATTTCCAGCTTCAGAGAGATGGTCCGGCTTGTAAGAAGGATATAGCGATTTTGGCAACACCGTATTGGAATGTCTCTAGGACCGCTCGGGGATCAATGCATTCGAATCTGCAGATGGGCCAGAAATCTGATGTTCATTCTCAAAGAGTAGCCATTTCCGAAAGAAAGAAGGTAGACATTCGAGAGCGTCTGGCAACAACTCTCCCCAGATGAGAGCTTGTTGCGTGCCACTGACCTGACAGAAGTCTCCAGTTCCAGGTCTTCATTTACCTTGAAGCGTGTTGCTCATGTTTGTGTTTTTCGAGGTGCATCCAGAGACGCAGTTCCTGTAGCGAAAGTTCGGCTTCGGCATGCTCGGTCCGCAGTACGGAGAGCATGTTCGCTCCTGCCATTGCGGCGAAAACAAAATAGTGTCCAATAGGATATACATAGCAACGCGAGCTGGGACTGGAGATGTGCCAACCAAATCAAATATAACAACACGTGGGAGTCCAGCATCAACATCAGTCGGGCTTCTTCAAACAGCAAGCCGATGCTTACACCAGAGGGGTAAAGTCCATGGGTTGAGATGGTGAGGGGCCAACGACCAGATCTTGGGAGTCGGGACAACCTACCGGGGCTTGCTCCAGACAAAACACGCTCGGGCTAGGGTGGGCTGTTGGGCTGCTGGGATGGAATGGACTTTGGGTCGCCAGCGGAAGCTAAACATCCGTTCTCCAACTGCCTGACCGAACAGATGCGAGGCAACTGCGAGTGTTGCAGCTTGAAGATCATGCGCAGCCATCTGCAAGAGGATACGTGCTGGAGCGGAGGCGAGACCGCGGGGAGACTCCGACAAGATGGTGTCTGAATCTCGCTTGAGACGTCGACTTTGATGGGGCGTCATCATAGTAGAACATTCTGAAACATTCTATCTCTGCGCGTCTTGAATAAGGCTCTAGAGAGGGAAGCATCTGGGGCCAGTGGTGGTGGCCATGAGTCGCATCGCGGGTTGCTGCAGCGCGGGATGCGATGAGGGGTCACCGGCCTCCAGCATGACGAGAGACGAGTCGCTGGCGGATAGCAGTGAACGATGGGCGGGAACAGGTAAATGGAGGTGAAATGAAGAGGTGAAGGGGGTCTTGGAGACGGCGATGACAATATGAGACAAGCTTTTCTCCTTAGACAGCACTGGGGCTGTATCGGCGTTGATGCACAGGGTGATGGACGGGCAGGTTTGTGAAACAGCACAGCGCCATCCATGCTCCCACAGACAAAGCACGCGACGTCTCGAGATCTGTTCGCCCGTCGCACACCTCCACCACCGCCGCCGCTCGTTACATTGTTCACGCTCGCCGCCCAAAAATCGCGCCGCCGTCTGTCATTGTCGCCGACGATCCTCATTGTCGCTCACGCCCGCTTGCCGCCCAGCCTCAAAGTCCGTCAGCGGCTTCAGAGTTCAGGGTGCCGCTCACCCTTGACCTCACTGCTACCCGAAGACCAACCACCACCGCACTGCGCGACTGTCAGCGTGTCGGCCACCGCGCACCGACAGCACACCCGGGTCCGACGACTCTACCACGTCCGCGCGGTCACGCGCCCGCTCCTTGCGCTCCGCCCACCTGCTGGGCAGCCAACCACCCTCGGCGCATTGTTGGCCACCGCTGCCAAACGCTCCCGCGATGGCCGGCAATCAGCCCAATACGTGAGTACCCGCCTGCGGACATGGCGACACTGTCCCGCGTGCGTGTAGTCGGCGATGAGGGTTCCTGGAAGCATACATGTGGACATGCAACCTCGATCTCCAACCGCGACGCCAGGACAATGCACCACGCCGCGATGCAACGAGGACACTGCTGACTTGCCGCAACAGACTCTACAGGCCGGACCAGTTCATGAATCCAGGACCTGCCCCGCCACCGCCCACCGATCGTCGTCCCAAGGTCACACTCACACCAAACGTCTACAACACGCCAGGCAACCCGAACCTCAAATATGTCGGTAACGACTCCGACAGCTCCCTCAATGCTTCGCAGTCGTCGCTCGGCCGCACCGCAACGAGCAATGGCGAAATGACGGTGATCAAGGATGGCTGGGCGAAGGTCAAGGAGGAGGGCGGAGGCTTTATGAAAGCGTTCTGGAACGAGCGCTTCCTCGTTCTGCGGGAGAAGCAGCTCGATTTCCTGAAATCAAGCTCTACCAACAAGACCACAAGCGTCATCTATCTCAAGGACGTGTCGCATGTGACGCGTTCCGACAACTACCCCTACAGCTTGGAGATCACTCGCGACGGGAACAAAATATGGATTCTCAAATTTGACACAGACACCGAGGTCTACAACTGGATGGACAATATCTACGATCGCTGTCCCCAAATGGGTGGTGTTTCGCACCCCACGGGCTTTTCCCATCGAGTCCACGTCGGCTTCGATCCAGTGACTGGAGGCTTCGTCGGATTGCCAGTCGAATGGGAGAGATTGCTCAAAGGCAGTGCTTTGACCAAAGATGATATGGCCAAGAACCCGCAGGCTGTCATGGAAGTCCTGCAATTCTACACCGACAAGCTCCAAGTCCGAGCAGACGACCCGAAGTCCTACCCATCACTCACACCTACGCCAAGTGCCGAAAACAACGCGAACAAACAGCTTGGCTATTCTGCGGGCAATGGCGTGACGCCACCTAGGCCGCAACCCCCAGGAGCGAGTCGGCAGGACAGCAACTATAGCGCCACTAGCCAGTCGAGGGCACCCGGCAGTGGTTATGGATCTGGGGCCTCCAGAGATCAATCGACCGATCGCCGAAACGAAGACGAACGCAGACGGCGACAGGAGGAGCAACGTGAGCGTCAACGAAGACTTGACGAAGAGCAGGAGCGCAGGCGGCGAGAACAAGAAGATCGCGAGTACAACGAGTCTCTGCCAAAGCACAAGCTGCCCCTTGCGAAGCAAGAGGTTGGTGGGGGAGGTTACAGTGACTCTTCATCGCGCGATGCGAGCCCAGGTAATGGACAAAGCAGGTATAACGCATCTAGACCAGCGCCTCCTGCGCCATCACAAAGCAAAAGCGGCAGCACGCTACCGATACGGAACTTGCAGGCACAGAGAGCGGCGCCGTCGCCTCCACAGAATGGTGGGTCAACCCCTGCAAAGAAACCTGGTGCACCTGCTCAATCACCTTATGCAGTCAAACAACCTTCACCAGCAAATGGCGGGCAGTCCAGGAAAGATGAAGCACCGCTCACGCGGAAACCGTCTGAGACTGGCCACCAGAAGCAACCATCGGCTTCCGGCCAAGTGAAACCCCTCAATGTCGCGACCAAGCAGCCTACCGGCAAACCAGATGCCGTGAAGCAGGCTGAGGCCGCGCTCACCAAGAAGGACCCAGAACCGAAGAAGGAAGTTCGAATGAGTGCCATGTCCGATGCCCAGGTTATGGACCGTCTGCGATCAGTGGTCACCTTGAGTAACCCTCTTGAGAGCTATAACAAGCAGAAGAAGATTGGTCAAGGTGCTTCTGGCTCCGTGTATGTGGCAAGGGTGCGCGAGAACGCTCCTAGCTCGACTGCTCAGAACTTGATCAAGCAGTACGGCCCCAAGGCTCAAGTGGCTATCAAGCAGATGGATCTCCGATCGCAACCAAGGAAGGAGCTGATTGTGAATGAGATCATCGTCATGAAGGAGAGCCGTCACGACAACATTGTCAATTTCCTTGATGCCTTCTTGCAAGAGGAGACTTTTGAGCTCTGGGTCGTCATGGAGTTCATGGAAGGTGGTGCTTTGACTGACGTGATAGACAACAATGCCTCTATCACTGAAGATCAAATTGCGACGATATGTCTGGAGGTGCGTAACACAAATAAAAGTTGTATTGTGAAGATTGTGCTAACCATTCGCAGACTTGCAAGGGCTTGATTCACTTGCATGCCCAGAATATCATCCACAGAGATATCAAGTCCGACAACGTTCTCCTGTCCTCCCGCGGCGCAGTCAAGATTACTGATTTTGGTTTCTGCGCTAAGCTAACAGAACAACGATCGAAGCGTGCTACGATGGTCGGCACTCCGTACTGGATGGCTCCGGAAGTCGTCAAGCAAAAGGAGTATGGGTCCAAGGTCGACATCTGGTCTTTGGGTATCATGGCCATCGAGATGATTGAGTCCGAGCCACCGTATCTGAACGAAGAGCCGCTCAAGGCTCTGTATCTCATTGCAACAAACGGAACGCCGAGACTGAAGAAGCCAGAGAAGCTGAGCAAGGAGCTCAAGGCTTTCCTGAGTGTCTGTCTGTGCGTGGACGTTAAGTCCAGAGCAACAGCTGAAGAGCTTGGCCGACATGAGTTCTTGCAGCACGGGTGCTCTCTGGCCAGTTTGAGCGAGCTTTTGCGCTTCAGGAAGGGAGGCGGACACTAAAATCGGTGGAACGAGAATGGAACAAATTTATACCCACATGGCTCCATGCCTAAGGCGAGTCGATTGCCAGACGCGAAGCGAAGCGCGACGGGCGTCAGCGCGCGCGTGTTGAGGCTAGCCCTCAATTGGCAAGGATCACAGGCCGAGTCGCGCAGAGGGCAAAGACGAGAGAAAGGATCTTTTTCGGAGGAGGAAACGCATTTTCGCTTAAGGCAAAAGAACCAAGATACCACTTTTGACGGCTGGAATATGGGAATGGAATGGAACAGTGAGGGTAGTACTCGCTATCACGGGGTATGAAAAACATGAAGGTAATTGACTAACGCCCGAAACATCAACAAATTACTGCAAGACAGTCACGTATGTAGCGACGCGGTGCGATCGAAATCAGTCCACATAGACGAGAATGAAAGTTACGGCGGTTAGTAAAAGCGAGATTGTCTTATGAGAGAAGTGCAAGAGCGAATCGAGAGGTGCACACTTGCCGTTGCACGTGTGGTGAAGTGAAGGAGAGAGCGGAGTGGAGTCGGCAGGAACGTTCACCATGCTACTGACTTCATCGCCGACCGCAACAACACATTGTGCATCACGACACCAGTTCGCGTCGCGCTCGACGCTCTCAAGCCATCGCTCGATCACAACACGACGGCCGCGATGGCGCCCGACATCACCGACCCCAGATATCATCCCGTCCGAGCCGTCGAGGAAGCGACGACTCCTGAATTTGGACTCCACAACTTCGTGCAAAACACTTGCGCGTTACTTCTGGGCTACTTCTACCTCCAGGCGGTGCGCAACATTACGAACAAGATCGCTGATCATATCCTTTTGACGAGCTTTCCGAACTTATCGAGTCACTGGAGTATCGTCCCAGATGGCCAGAGCAGTTCGCGCCTGCAAGATACTCAGAATTACTATCCGAGGTTGGCGTTCTTGATGACTGGGCTGTTGCGTTGGCCCGGATGGTATCTGTTTGGTTTGCCGTTGTTCGAATGTGTAAGTACAAGAAGAGGAAGAGGCTGGTCGGGAGGTGATGATGATTTCTCGGAACGGACGACGACGACTGCGAGAGAGATTTTAGGAACACAATCCGCTGACTTGTACGTCTCCGTTTCAGGTCCGCAACGTGATCACCTTGTACACCATTTGTCAACTCCTCATCGTCGGCTTCCTGCTCATCATACACGGCTTGACATGGATTGGCCTTGATCTGGCCGCCTTAACAGAATGGAAACCCTCCGCTCCCAACGACAACAACTCCAGAAAGGACAGAAAAGTCGTTCACTTCGACTCTCCAGCGATTCGCAAATACAAGGAGACCGAGATGTCACGGAAACACCCCAGTTCCGTCAGCATGGGCAGATTCCTCCAGTCCCTTCCACCAAACCCACTCGCCAGAGCGAATTTCTACTCACCTCGAAAGCGAAAACAGGTGGACCCCGAGATGGAGAAGCAACAGCAGCTTAGCTGGGGCAGCCTTTTCCAGTCCGTGCCACAAAGTGCTCTCGCAAAAGCCAACATCTTCTCACCTCGCAAGTCAAATCAGGAAGAACCCAAGAACCACGAGTCCAAGCTGCAGCAACCGCAACGAAGCTTCCAGCAACAGCCCTCGTTCGATCTGTTCATAACCCGCGAGCTGAATTCCAGATCCCAACAGACCGAAACGGCAGTCTACCACTCCATTCTTATGCACGAGAACTTGCGAAAGATGAGTTTTGAGGAACTGAGAATCGAGCATTACATTAATTCCAAGAGATTCCTGGTCCAAGCTCCTCCTACTCCTCTTCTCGTGGACGCTGGCACGATGGAACCACCACTGCCGATCATTGACCCTCAGACTGAAGAAAGCGAAGAAGAAGATCCGACCCAGCTCACTCTCGCGAACACGCCAACGCCAATCACCGAATTTCAGGCAGAAGGAGAAGACAATTCGATTTCTGACCTGCTCAAATCCAGTATGAGACAGATCGCTCTACCATCGTGGTTATCAAGTCGGATGTCGCGCGACTCAAAGACGACGGGTACTTCCACTTCGCCTGCTGTCTCCAGTTGGGAGAGCCCATCAACGACACTCGTTCCATCGAGCACGCCGCCAGGACTTCCGCCAATGAGTGCACAGCAGTTTTGGGGACGAAGCTTTACTTGATCGGAAGTGGCATATGGAAGAACGTTGAAGGCGAGGGGCCCTTGATTCGTTGATGGACATGGCAAAGGGGCGAGAATAGCATGGTGGCGAGAAATGTATGACAAAAGAGACATGGACAAGTTGTCCTTCGTAGCGAATTCGTACAATGAGACCGTAATTGTGTGTGTTTCTGATATCTATCCAGTTCTATTCCTGTATCAGTTGCATGTTCGATGTGATGAATTTCTTCTGCTACGATTTCACCCTAGGAGGTAGGTCCTTTGACTTGTTCCACTTTTTCTGTCGTCTCTCTACTCTCACTCAATAACTCATCGCAAAGCGCAATCGCTGGCCCCAGAATGGAATCGCGGCGATTCGCACCTTGGTCAATGACACTTGAGTTCCGCAACGGAGACTTGCAAGGCAAAGCTGGGGGTGTCGCCGCAGAACTTGGGATAGGCGAACATCGGCTCGAAAACTCAGTCAGAGAAGGGACTGATTCACTGCTTCTTTCAGCCATCGAGCTGCATCGGCTGGAATAGAGGGGCAGAGGAGCAACTGCCTGCGGGGAAGAATTTGTGGCTGGGTATGACACGCGCTCTTCCGGTGCTGAATTGGTGCGGTTGGATCGTGGCCTGGAGGAACGTTGGCGTGACCGGTGGAGATCTGGCGGGGAGCATGTTCCCGCTTCAACCGAAGTGCTTGTTCTGACAAGTCGTTGATGAAGGTGGTGCAAGTCCATTAGCACCCGCAGTGTTTCATCAATCAGAGCTTCGACTGTCTCCGGATCTTTTGCTGGAGTTTCATCTTTCGTCTTCGCAGGAAGCGATTCTCTCTTCAAGCATCTGCCGTACTTTGAAACCTCAGGCGTCGTTGCATTGGAGTGACTGTACAGTCGTTGGCGTAGAGATCGCCTTTCTGAATGCGTACGAGTATTGTCCATGCTTGTCGTTCTAGAAACAGTGGTCTTCGAGCTTCGCAGCCTTATCGTTGCAGACTGATCACCGAGCAGTGGTGCTGCCCTTCCATTACTTGTAGTCCGGCCAGTATAGCGTCTATGTATAACTCTGCATGGTTTATCCGAACACACCTGGTCTCGCGAAAGTTAAGGCAGAGTCCTCGGCTCCAGAGTGGTCAGAGCAGGTGACAGGCATTTAGACTTCGACCGGTCGTCATGCGCGCTCTCGTAAGACGATGGCCCGTTTTGGAGCAATGCGCGTGGAAAGTCTCTCTGTTGTGGAAGTTGTCACCAAAACTTGATGCCAATCCAGGCGAGCCTTGCAGCTGTTGTTGGCGATCGCCCCGTTGCTCCCGTTGGTTTAGGCGGACCGGAATGGCCACGTAGCTGTTCGACGTGGGATGCGCGCATTCCAAAGAATACGCAAATGCATGTGCAATCATGGCTCGTGTCTGTGGATCAATTCATACTCTGAATGTGCTCGTCGTGACCAGAAGGGAAGGCGCTGTCGTATCGATTTCGTCTTCCATCGAGGGACATCGGTCGGCGCGAGGTAGTGGCGGTGATAATACCACCAAACCAGGAATATCACGCCGAAGCCAACAACGAAGCCAAAAATGGTCACAAGAACCCAGTTGCGGGCCATCTGGATACTGTTAGCGAGATCGCCCTCGATTTGGAGGGTGGATTTACTTACCCAGAAAATCAACTGCACATCATAACCATGCCAGCTATTGCCCAAGTGGTGCGTGAAAAAGCTCCAAGGCTGGTTCTGATATTCCTGCGGGAAAATGATTCGTACTCTTCCTCCATCAGGCCCATCTCCCACATTAAATCCCTCGTCGCTGTAGTGCCTCCAGATTATACTGACGAATAGTGGACCGGTGCTTGCCATGACTGAAATGTACGGCAAGATCCAGCTGCGGTCGTAATTCGGCAGCTCTTCAATCACGCGCTGGAAGAAAGGATGTCCCGGAACAGCGCCCATGGCATCGTTGCTCACTCCTGTAGGAATGGTCTTGCGCACGAAAGCGGGATACCTCAGCAAGGGCTCCAGAGACCTGTTGCAGCCATCGTCCAAATCAATGTAGATGCCGCCAAAGTGCTCGAGCACAAAGTACCTGATGGCATCTGCACGCTGAATGGGATACTGATAACCTCGGAATGTGTCCAAGAACTCTGGATACTCTTTTGCGACGAACTCATCTGACATGGCATCCGTCCACAGCATGTACTTCCACTCCGGCTCTTTGTGCAGATCGAGACAACTCTGCTGTGCCTCCTGCCATACCACGGGGATACTGGTGTTGATGTATGTTTGATGTATGATTTTCGGAATCATAGGTTTCGTGTCGAGGTCATGCTCGGAGCCCATCGGCGGCAGCTCTGCCTTGGTGATTGCATCCTCAATCCCGTTGATCACCAGCAGTTCCAGGAGAGTCCATACGGAGTGCACAAGGAAGGCGATCAGGGCGAGATTGAGGATGAGGAAGATCAGAACCGGTCGGCGCATGGCCACGATGGCGCGCGCGAGCGTGGTGCAGGTGGTCGCGTGGCCAGGCTTGCAGGTGTGAGGTGGTGGTATGCGGGAAGTCGTGTGTGTGGATTGCTTCTTCGAGCGTGTCGAATGTCGATGGCGGGGATTTGATGCGGCGACGGAGCGAGGAAGGGTCTCAGGGGCGCCTGCTTTGCTTGTGATTGTCTTTCAGCCTCTGCGACGACAACTACGCGAGCATCGAAGAAGGAGCGGCGGCGGAGGAGAGAAGAGGCGGCAGGGTCGGAGGAAGTGGTGTATATTGTATTGTGCTGCAGAGGCTCACGCACGGAGAGCATAAAAAGGGCATCGGCTGGTCGACTTGATCCTTGCGAACGGACGCGAGGCTGTGCTGTGCTCCAGCTCTGTCTTCTGTGCTCCGACTCGCCTGCACATCTTCATCCTTCGTTCCCGTGCATCGTCATTACTTTCTCCCTTGCATGACACGCCGCTTCTCTTCCTCCGTCCACCACACTGTTGCCATCCATTGTCGCCGTCAACCTTCGGACGAGCGACGTTCTGTTACGGCCGTCCACACCCAGCGCACGGCAACGCCGGCAGCGCGGTATCTCAGCATCCCGGAGGCGGCCAAGATGACACGCCAAGCCAGAAGCGCTGTCTGAGCATCTCCCTCGTCACCCGATGCAAAACCGCCGCATCACACGCTGACATTGCAAGACGGTAAGGATGCAGTACACGCAGTGAACGCGTCTTCGACGACCACTTCTTCCTGCAATACACGCAGATCCATCTAGGCTGCCATCGCTTGACCCGGAGCTAAAGCCGACGACAGCTGCACGTCAGACGCCATAGCTATACGGTCCGAAAACGAGGGAAACGAGTACGCCATACTAGCCAAATCATTTACATTACATACAGCATGTCTGGCACAGATATTCCCTACGGTGTCTGGCCACCAACACAAGACCCTCAGTACGAAAGTTAGCATCCTCCACTATTATTTAATGTCTCCTCCGCCCTCAGGTCTCCGCGCCCCAGCTCCAAGCCAAGACTACGATGACCTCCCTACACCATATAGGGAGGCGGCACCTGTGATAGCCTGCGATACCAGCGCAGGTCTTCTCCTTCAGGTACCTAACAGAATTAAGTCAGAAAAGAAAGTCTACATGGGGCTCAACTTCCTTCTCAGCCACCGCGCTCTCGTATCCCAGCCAAAACATGACACCAAAGACGGCCATGCGTGACCTGTACAGTCAGGAAGCGGTGGCTTGTATCTTACAGCCACTTTGCAATTGCAACTCTTAGGCTACGCAGAAAGCCACTCCCGGAAGTGCGAAGAGAAATTCGTCGTACTTATCTTACAAAAGGGCGACTGGGAGCTTATATGAAGCCATCCAGCCCCAGTCCACTTGTAGGTACCGAGCTGCGCGCCTTCTTCCCCTTCTCATCGTCGCCTTCGTAACCACTGTCGTAGTCGTCGCAGCGGCGGACTACCCAGTTGCCTTCGGCTCGACGTCCGCGCACCTGGCGAGTCGAGCCACCCTCCGCTCGTCGGCTGAAGCCGTTGATGGAGGAACAGTAGCTGCATGGAGAATGCCCGCAGCGAGAGCATGAACTACCACTGCTGCATGTTGTGCCGCATGAGCAGCAACTCCACATCTTTGCTGTGATGGGGTGGGTGTTTGGTTTGGGCGAGTCTCGTGGGTTGTGTTGTTCGTGTGTTGTGTTGTTCGTGTGTTGTGTCTTGTGCTTTGCTTCTTGATATTCTGCCTGTTTGAAGTCTTGAAAGCTCGGTGCAGAAAGAAGGCCTCCAGAGAGCGCAGAAATCGAAGGTACTTACCCTCTTATAAAGCGCGTCCCTCGAAAGAATGCTCTTGTGAACGCGTGTGTGTTGTCGACGGAGGGCTTCACCAGTGAAAGACAAAGAAGTCCGTATATAATGGCCTTGTTGATGCGTGCACGAGTGTCGGGGGACAAAGAAAAGTAGGGTGACCGGCTCTGATTGGGGTTTCGAGGGGCATCAAGAAAGTTGTGGGCGTCGACGAGAATAGCGAGTCATGTTCTCTGTTGCTAAGCACAGGAATGTTCTTGGGCTCGAGCATCGAAGTTTATGAAGGGCGATGTATCTATCGTGAAGCATGTTTTGCTGGGCTTGAAAATCCTTGTACGTGGCGTGCAGCAGCATATGCCCGCTATCGGAATTGTATCATGCTTTGGATCAGGAAGAATCTTCTTGTTCAGCCCCTTCGTTCCCACGCTAGCTTCAACGCCTCGCAATGCTGCCTTGGAGTTCGAGGGTGGCGTCGTTTGCCATGCGGAGTATAGCATAGGTCTGCTTGGCCGGTTCCCTTGTAGTGTGGTGCCCCCTGAATTTGGCTCGACGAGAAGAGGGTTTTGTTTGTGTTCATGTTCGGAAAACTCGGTCCTGCTTTGGAGGAGGAAGTGTGCAGGGGCGATACGTAGGGGCTTTTCGTCCATCATCTGCTGAGGTGCTCCAGGGGATTGTTTGTGAAGATGTGATATTCAGCATGGCGAGCGGCTCCCACAAATGTTGACTTTGCTGGCGAGACAAACCCAAGCCATCTTCGTACCTTATGAGAATGTCCCATCTATTTCAGTGCTGTCTCTCCCAGCCAGATCCCTTGTGGCCCATGTGTCGACACGATGTCTGTCATAGCCTGCCACAAAAGCAGAGTTCCGAACGCCATGTCTGAGCCACCTGCACACTCGTGCGTGAATATAAGTCCCATGCAAAGTCTCCTTGCAATCTACAGCAGCAGCAACATCAATTCATCCCACACATCTGCAGAAAACCTAACTCTGCGCACATACAGCTTTCGCACTCTTGCTCAAACAACATCCAGCTGGCCTGGACACTCAACTCAACTCCAATCAACTCAACCAAAATCTCCATCACATTTTTCACGACCGATTTCCATTCAAGCATTACCACTCTCTAGAATCATGCATTTCCACAACGACTCCCTCGAATCGCCAAACGATCCAGAAGACAGATGCAGATGGGTCCCAGCCGAAGAAGAAGATGATGACAGCATGCCTGAGACCGGATACTCCGACCTACCTCCTCTCTCAATGCCGCCTCCGCGTGATCCAGGTGCTAGAACGCGCCGAATTTGCCCGCTCTGCAGATATGTGCTCCCGGGCTGTCCGGTCTGTCGCCATTGGAATTGATGCGGCGTGGAAAGGGTTGGCGGAAATGGAGAGACTGAAAAGGGGGACGGGTTGGATGAGCTGATGGAATCGATGGGGTTCGGCTGAGGAGATCATGGGAGTTGAGGGATTCAAGTCCTGACTTGGTGGGCTGAGATAGTTTGTACGAGGCGTGAACTTGTTTGATACATGGGACAGGTGCCCATAGAGGATCTGGCATTCATGGGTTTTGTGCTGCTGTAATTACGTGAGGTGTTTATGTCGGAACTGAAACGGAGTATGAAGTGGCGCATAAGAGCTTCCTTGTCTCCTCCAAAGAATCTGCGCCTGGGGGAGCGGTTGTACGAAGAATATGGACGTACGTAGATGTGGTAGCCAAAGAGTTGAGTGGTCGGCACGTAGAAGCGCACTCACCTGCATCCAGATGTATTTGGCCTGCCCAATTGTACTGAGTGCCTGGAAACGGAGAGACGGAGCCACAATGCTACACGCAATCAGTTCGAGGACTTCACAGGAAGTCAAGTGCGAACATCTGAGCGATTCTGACCGAGCAACATCAGGTGGTGTCAGCGCACGCATATCTAGCAGCGCTGATCTGGCCACATCCAAGTGCTCTGCAGCGACATATCTCGATCTGCTTCTAGCCAGCAGGGGTCTATTGCTAGAAAGGTAAGTACGCTTCACTCAGTACGACAGCCTCGACTTCGAAGGTCTGCTGTTCCGTTTCCTCGGACAGTCCGCTGCCTTGTGTCCCTTCTCTCCGCAGCCGTGGCAGGCTAGATTCGCCATCGAAGGAGAGCCGCCGCCGTTCGATATGCTCGTGGGCGTCCGGTTGAGGTTCACTTCTTTCTTCCTTCGCTGCTCTGCTAACTTCTGTGATGCTTCTTTCTCTGCTTTTCTCTTTGCTTTACGCTCTGCTTTGGCGCGCTCGGTTGCCTCCTTGCGGCCTTGCGCGATCAGCGCGTCTACTCCAGTGTCATCGCCAGGCTCGCCTTCCTCTTTCTCGTCCTCTTCATCCTCGTCGGATTCTGAATCAGAGTCCGAGGAGAGGTCTGGATTGTTTTGCTTTTCAATAACTTTGTTAAACTTGCCAAAGCTCTTCCTTCCCGGCATTGCTGGCCGCCGTGGCGCATCGTCCTCGCTATCAGAAGCGTCGTTGCCACGACTCGTGGAATCGAGAGTCGCATATCCTGCTTGCACAATGCGCAATGGCGATTCCACAGCTGGCGCTTGAGGAGCACGGAAACTGAGGTACCACTTCGAGTCGTCTTGCGAGGCTCCTGAAGAGCCTTCAATCGGTGTTGCTGGGTTCGACGAGGTGGGAGAGGGCGCTGCTCTGCCGCTTGACAGTCGCTGCTTCTTTGAAGGTGGTTCGCTTGGAGTTGCTGGAGAAGGCGGTCCTGAGCGCTGCATGAACTTCATGCTCGCCAGTCGCGAAGACATGGTCTTGTTTGGTCTGCCATTCGTCGCCATTGTGCCGGTCGTGATGTGTTGTCGCGAAGAAAGTTGTGAATGAACTGGAGGTGGTGAAAGAAGCCGCAACTAACTACGGCTTACGGAAGTTCCGCGTGCGACAAAAAAGCCCTGGCAGCTGCATTGGCTCCACATTCTCCTTGCGTCCTCTTCTACATCATCTGTGGACTACTATGACCAGCAACCAAGGCACAGTTCGTCAATCAATCGAATTCGATAGTGACAGCAAGACGCGAAGCCAGACCAAATCGAGAATCGGCTTCTCTCGTCCGAACAGCAAACTACGCTCCCAGTCCGGCCGACCCGGCTGTTGAATGGTACAAAGGAACTGGCTATGCTCTCGTATCCGTTCAAACGTGCTAGATGAGGGATGCGAGACTCGGATCTGACAATACGGCATCAATCTCGCGCCAGAGCTTGTCAAAACACCGTATCAATCGTCGACCAGCACCTTCGACTGCTATCTCTATCTATTCAGCATTCACTGCTCCTCGTCCTTCGATACACCGATGCCTGAACCGTTGGCACGGGTGGTAGCGAGGGGATCTTCTCGTTATCACTGAGATTCAGAGCATTGTGCCCGAACAGCCAATCGTTCCTTTCCCGACATCCCCAGAAGATTGGATTGCTTGCATCGTCCCGCTGCATCAATTCATCTCGCTCCTGTCTCGCAGGTCCGTCGTACAGGTGCAGCCACTCCTGCAATACTCTTGTATTCTTCGCCACATATGCCGCTCTTGGTAACCTAACCTTCTGGTATTTCGCCAACGCTGCTGGAATACTTGTCTCGGTATCGAGCGCTGCTTTCAGCGCAGCCGCGTCTTCGGTATCTTGAGCAGCGCCTACGTGCGAGCCAGTATCAACCATCCGCGACTTGAAAGACGGAAAATTCTTCATAGCCCTTACCTTGCGCCATGCTGGGCATCATTGGATGGCACGCATCTCCGAGCAGACACACTTTCCCACTGGCATGCACCCAACTGCCTAACTGCGAGAAGTCGGCCAATCTCCACTTCAAGTACTCTCCCGTCATGGCACACAGTTTCCGCACCTGCGGACACCAGTCGTGGAATCTCTCCACGAGCTCTCCGTTGTTCCTCGCACTCTTCCACACGTCCTCTCCTACTGGCTCGCCTTTGTCAGAACCGTGCGTCACATAGAGAATGATATTGTATAATTCGCCTTCACGGAGCGGATAGCTCACCGCGTGCCCTTCTGGTCCCAACCATTGTGTTGCCCACGGCTCAGTCACTAAATGGCGCATCTCCGGATCCGCGAGGAGAGGCGCAGCGGGTACCAAGATGCGATATGTGACGTCGCCTGTATCTTGCGGAGCGATCGGAGAGCCATTGACAGCATTCCTAGCGGCAGACTTGATCCCATCTGCGCAGACCACGAGATCAGACGCTATTACTTCGCCACTGGCAAGGGTAACTGATGGCTTATCAAAATCGTAGGACAAGACCCGGGCTCCCAACCGTATTGTCACATTTTTCCTCTGCTGGAGCGTCTCCGCAAGCAGATTTATCAAATCTGCACGATGGATGAAGTAATACTCCGTGCCGTATCTCTCCTTCACATCGCTGTAAACGCAATCGAGGAGGATGTTGCCTTTCCAGTCCATGAAGCGGTCCCCGCGCGAAATTCCTTTCTTCACTTTGCTGAAGTCCACTCCCCATGCTTCGCTCAGTCGGACTGAATTTGGTGGCACGCGAATCCCGGCGCCAACTTCTTCAAATGCGGAGGCGCTTTCTAGGACTGTGATCTTGTGGTTGGAGGAGCTCAGTGCGAGGGCTGCCTGTAGACCGCCGATACCTGCTCCTACAATAGTTATGGTGAGTGACTGCATGGTGAGGAATGTGGGTGTTGAGAGCGAATAGTGTCGTAGCTATGTAAGGACGACTTGAGCACTCGAAACATGGGACTCAAGCATAGCCGCTCAAACCAGAAAGAACAGAGCAGAGAGCGGGAGACGAATGGAATATGGCAAGCTGATAAGTATGTGTTTCCTCAGACACTGTGCGATACTTGCTCTCTCTGCGTTTCGATGCCGTGTGGCTTGATCGATGGAGTTGTAGCATTGTGAACCGCGGGGACCGTGTAAGTTCGGGACAGGGGCTGTGATTAATCGAACCAGTCATTTCGAGCTCCCGTGGCAGCTACAGTCAGACACTCATTGCTTTAGTATTGCTTTATACTGGTGAATTGGTGCGATGCGTCCTTTTGGGGAAGTTATAGCGCGAAGATCTCTGTTCGGTGACATGTTGCCCCCTGTCTGGTCAGCTTGTTCATCAAAGGTCGGCCACAACAAAATAAGCGCCGTCATCTCCGACTGAGGGCTAGGAACATAGGTAGTAGCGTGAGAGAAATCATAGGCCTCCGACATTCGTGCTTGATATTTCGTATGCGTTCGTGCCTGCATCATCATGTAGACTCTTGCTCTGTCGTCATTCGGAATCTCGGAGGCTGCTCGGCTTTCCAAGCTCAAAACCGACCCTTTCCCCGTGCCTCCGTCCATGCCCGGACACACGGACGTCCTTCTACAGCATAACCCTCGAAAATTTCGGGATGGAGCTCGCCATCTCGAGTCAAGACCCTGGCTCGGTCCCCTCGTCAAGGTCCGCTCTCATGGACTACGAAGGGGTGCTGTGCTTGCCAGCCAGAAACGGGCACCTTACGTCTTAAGCCAAAGAATTTGTGAAAGCCGGCAACACTCGAGCTTGACATCACGATGCCGTATGCGCAATTGAGTCTGGACCACTTGGTGTGCGAGAGTCAGAACAAGGTATCACTAAGAAGATGGTTACATCTGATCCTGGCCCTCAACCTGTTGGATGTGTCTGCTCATGTGCCAACATGCCTTCTATACAGACTCAGGGAGTTTCCATACAGCCCTTGGCTTTTCAACTCTATGGGAACTTGACAAGTCTTCGAAGGCTTTCCGGGGTTGCCAGTCTTTAGAATTGCTCTGGAGGCGCTGGTCTGCCTCCAAAAGCCATTTGGACCATACTGGTGTGTCCGGTACAGAACGAGAGGCTCTCACCCAGTCAATGCTCCCTGATCTTTGAATAGCTACCCACAGTCCCTCGGCGAAGTTGGCGTTGAAAAATGTATGCTTCTCGGAGATCTCGAGGTTGGAGAAGTCCCAGGAGTAGCGCTCCGGCAGCACAGCTGCTACCCAGTACAAGACGTTCAGCAGAGCGTAGGTTACGGAAAGCGCTGCCTGCATTGTCCATGTACAGTTGCCAAAAAGTGTGATGCTGACAATGAGCATCAGGCCTCCTACAACACCTCCAGACAAGCGATTGGCGTAGATATTCATGGAAAACTCGGGGGCTTCGGGAGAAAAGTACAACAGTCGAGCTATGCTCTCCGTGCAATGGATCACGGTGAAGATGCCATCTCGAGTACGGAACACCACGTCGCCGTCACGACTCATAAGCGCCAACCTGAGCTTCGGTAATTTGTATCGTGCTCCAGCGCAGAGCACTGGTGCGGTGCTAGACATTATGATAATTCCAACGACGGCGACACCATCTCGAAGCAGAGCTGCCCAGATCAACAAGCCGATGGAAATTGCACAGCTTATGATGGCGATGATATTGGTTGGACTCGCCCATCGCGGACGTAAATGCTCGGATAGGGCTGCAGACCCGTCACTGGACTTGAGCTCTCTGATCGTCAGCTCGCGAACGCTGTAAGGCTCTGACTGCATGCCCGTGCCATGGAATATGGTGGCGAAATAGTTGAGGCCTGCTCTCTCATTGCCAGAGTAAATGCCGATACAAGTCAAGACATCGTCCTCGAGTGGCAAGCGCTTGATCCGTTTCTCTGCCAACAGTCCTTGCGGTGCTGGCATCAATCGCGGCAGCAAGCACGTGGGCGAGGCCGTTATCAGGTGCGCGTTGACCTTGATGTTGCTCTCACCCAGCACTGCCAGAATCGAGACAATATCGAGACGCCATGTATTTCGTGGTGATGGAAATTGCAGCATTTTGATTGTCGTTCGTGTCACTGCAAAAGCGTAAGAGGAGCAGCGCGAAGATCAAGAAGCTGTCAACGTGCGGGCGCCAAAGCATGCTTCCTCAGCTACGTGTACTCTGTGAAAGCAGAGTGCATGCAAGCATGACTTGAGTGGCTTACTGCATACAGGGGTCGCAAGATAAGCTGGAAAGGTCTTCACGCAAAGCTCTATAACGCAGCGCAACAAGCTACACGGTTACCTAACATGGTTTGAACAAACGCGAGGAGTACTCAAGCGGCTCTGTCTATTTACTTTTGCATGATTTGCCCAGGGAGGTATATTCTTAGAGGTGGCGGATCGCTGGAAATTCGGTAGCCTGTCTGAACCACCCATCTGTGAGGAACCGCAGGTCAAATTCACATGAGATCGAAGACTCTCGCCGCCAAAGGTCTGGCCGCTGAGCGGCAGATAAAAGAAGACCGTGATAATCTGTGCGAATGTTGCGCTTGAGGAAACGGTCGCTTGGAGGTGAAGCCAGCGAAGGAATGCCAAGGCAGCCGATCACTACCACCTACAGAGCACTTGTGCTACAGCACTTGCTAACAGCTAACAGAAAGGTGGAGTGGGAGAGGGGAACCTTCATCAGCAATGCCACATAGCACGGTAGCACACACGCGTCGGCATTCATCGCATCTGGTTCATTCTTCACTCAATTCCGAAACGACTCACTCTGTCCACGATTGACATACTCACGCTCTCACTACACCTCAACCAGATCAAACGATCAAGAAGTGCAAAATGGACAAAAACAACCACATCACCAAAACCCAAACCACCACCTCCTCACCCCCTCCCACCGACCTCGAAAAACACTCCCACGAAACCAAAAACATCGGCCACCTCAACCGCAACCTCAAAAGCCGCCACATCCAATTCCTCGCCCTCTCCGGCGCAATAGGAACAGGCCTCTTCATCGGTTCCGGCCAAATCCTCTCCCTCTCCGGGCCCCTATCCGCCTTCCTCGCCTACACAATCACAGGCTTCAACCTCTTCTGCGTCATAAACTCCCTCGGCGAAATGGCAACCTACCTCCCCATCCCCGGCGCAGTACCCATCTACGCCGCACGTTTCGTCGATCCGGCTTTAGGGTTCGTGTTAGGTTGGAATTATTATTATCAGCTCGCGATTGGAGTTCCGATTGAGACGACTGTGTCGGCGATTATTATTGGGTTTTGGCCGAATGGGGTTTCCACGGGGGTTTGGATTACGGTGCTGACAGTTCCGATGGTTGTGGTGAATTGTTTGCCTGTGGGGTTTTATGGGGAGGTGGAGTTTGTTTTTGGGGCGGTTAAGTTGATTACTATTGTGGGGTTGATTGTTTTGATGTTGGTTATTGATCTTGGAGGAGCGCCGAGTGGGGATCGGATTGGGTTTCGGTATTGGTATGTATTGGAAAAGGAAGATGTTGTGAGAGGAGAGGGTTACTGATAGACGACGCTGCGTGTTGTAGGATTGATCCTGGGCCGATGAATACTTATCTCCAGCCTGGGGCGTTGGGCAGATTCTTGGCGTTCTGGAAGGTCTTCATTCAGGCGACTTTTGCCTATGGTGGTAGCGAGATGTGTGTCATTGCAGCAGGAGAAACACAAGATCGTAAGTGATCCTCTCCCCAAGCTTACAACCCACACAACTAACTCTTCCCAGCACGCCGCAACATCCCCAAAGCAGTCCGCCGCGTCTTCTGGCGTATCCTAATCTTCTATATCCTCGCCATCTTCCTCGTCGGCCTCTGCGTCTCCTCCTCCGATCCCCGCCTCCTCAACGCGATCGATTCCAGCGCCCCAGGAGCCGCCGCATCCCCCTTCGTCATCGCAATCGTCAATCGAGGCATCCCCGTCCTTCCTCACATTCTCAACGCCGTAATCCTCTCCTCCGCCTGGTCCGCCGGCAACGCCTTCTACTACAGCAGCACCCGTGTCCTCTACGCCTCCGCTCTAGACGGCAAAGCCCCCAAATTCCTCCGCTACGAGAAATTCGGCGTCCCATACGCTTGTGTTGCGGCAACAGCTCTCATCAGCCTTCTGGCTTACTTGAACGTCTCGAATGCTTCGGCTCAGGTCTTCTTCTGGTTTAGTAACATTTCTGCCGTTTCGACATTGATCGTCTGGTGTAGTATCTGCATCACATATCTTCGATTCTATGCTGGATTACGACATAACGGAATCTCGAGGAATGATTTACCTTGGAAAGCGCCTTTTCAGCCTTTCTTGGCTTGGTTTGGGATTTGCTTTTGTAGTGTTGTGGCACTATTCAATGGGTATGATGCTTTCTTTCCTGGGAGATTCAGCGCGAAGAGTTTTGTGCCGCCGTATATTAATATTCCTATCTGCCTGCGAAGTCCTATTGCACNNNCGGTCGTAGGTAGAAACAGATAGCTTCGGCTATACTAGCAAAGTATAGGGCAGCTAGATACCTATAGAAGCAGGAAGAAGGCGACAAAAAGTCTAGAATTTCGACCTAGAGAGATTAGAGAGCTCCTAGGAATACGAAGACGATGCTAGCGCGGTAT